TTTTTTGGCTTTGAGGGACCCAGATGCAATTAACACCAACAGTCATCCAATGGGTGGATATGATACTGTTGCTGGATGTTGCCATAGTAGGGAGAAACTCTCCAAGTAATTTGTCTACAGTGGACTCTACAAAGTAATTCAAGTTTCCAAGGCAAAAAAGAGAAGCATACGTGCCAGTGTTGGTTCTTGCATATTGTTAAACATAAACAGAGATGAGAAACTGTTAGAACACAGATGGGGAGATGAGACTGGAAGATTCCAGCTATAAGTCAGAATATATTTGGAGGGTGGGGGGTGGGTGGGAAACAGACCTCTAGGGTAACAAGTAATGCTAGGGAGAGTAGGCAATGCACAATGGAGAAGATACAAGTGCAAAGGAGTAAAACATCTACCCCAATGGAGAAAGTACAAGTGTAAAGGAGTAAAGCATCTACCCTAATGTACAAAATGTACTGCTCTCTTGTGTATAGGAATCTCACCACCACCACCACCACATGCATATATCAATTTCCCCCTCATATTTTTCTCCTATAATCCTCAGAGCATCCTGGTGAGACAGAAGTGGGCGAGAAGAACAAGTTTTGAAACAATCAAGCTCTTGAATAATAAAAAAAACCCCCACTATTCTCAATTTCCAACTGTGGCTGTTTACTTGACATGGACACCAATACCATTAGAATTAATACAGGGGTGGGTGAATGCCCTCTTGCTGCTACAAAGGGAATCTGGCAAAGAACCTCAGGAAATAGAGCTACCTATTCCTGCTTTGGAAAGAGTCAAGAACTTGGGCTGGACGTTGGGATCATCCTGATGTGATCGTGAGCCAATGTACTCCTAATGAGCTAAATGTGCTCATTAATTTCTAACTGAAGCCATTATTTCCCTGTTGTTTCAATAACTGCAGCTGCAGAATTTTAAACTATCTTATCACCCGAATTTTCTTAAATATAAGTCCGGTCATGTGGTGCCTCGACTTACGATCACGACTTACAACCAAAATTCCACTCCCAATTGTGCTCATAAATCAAGAACTACCTATAATATTCATTGTTATGTCCCAACTGTGCTCATAACTTGAGAACTACCTATAATGTGCATGTAGAACAAGGCTTTTCAACCAGTGGTACGGGTACCAGCTGTGATACATTGGCACCTGGCAGGTGGTACGCGACCATCCTAGAAAAGTGGTAGCAGGGAAGGGAAATGAGCTGAACCGGTGGCAGCACCGCACAAGCCTGAGCGAGAGATGGCTGGAGCTGCAGGGCTGTCAGGGCTCATCGGAAGCGCCAGGATCAGCGCTACTTCGGGACTGTCAGGGCTCAGTGGAAGCGCCAGGATCAGTGCCAGTTTCCAGCTGGAGCTCGGCGCTGATCCTGGCGCTTCTGCTAAGCCCAGAAGAAACACCGATCAGCTGGAATGTTGCAGCATCTCCAGGATCTTGTGATTTACATTCAGATACTTGGCAACTGATTCATATTTATGACGGTCACAGTGTCCCAGGGTCATGTGAAGTGACCAAAACCTGCTGCAACCACCCAGCAGACGGGGGGAATAAAAACCAAACACCCCTCACCCCACCCCCGCTGCCAATCGTCCACAGAAATGCTCACAACAATGAAAACCTCGGACAGGAGGAAGAGCGCCGCCGGGTGGGCAGGCAGGTGTCTTGCTCGGCTGTGCCTTGGGGGGCACTTTTTTCAGTGCCATTGTAACTTCGAACAGTCACTAAGCGAACTGTTGTAAGTTGAGGACTACCTGTACTTCATCACTTTTTTCCTTTTGGTCACCATGTTTTTTCACACCTTGCTAGGTGACTAGTGGTACTCGGATGTTGCCATATCCTAAAAGGTGGTACAATGGGTGAAAAGGTTGAAAAGCCTTGATGTAGAAGACACTTTTGGGTAGTAATTAAAGTCACCAGGCTAGAAACTGGGACACCACGAGTTCCGCCTTAAGCATGAAGCCAACTGGGTGACTAGGCCAGTCCCTCTCTCTGCCCTAAGAAAGAAGCAATGATAAACTACTTCTGAGTAAAAAAAAAAAAGAACAACACAAGGACTTGTCCAAGCAATCATCAATTAAGACTGATTCAAACACACAGACACAGACATACACAGCACATGTGGATAATTAAACTTGAAAGTGGAAGTATTCTGATATACAGATAGTTCTCACTTAACGATTGCCCTGTTTAGGAACCATCTGGAATTATGACAGTGCTGAAGAAGTAACTTTATAACCGGTCTTGCACTTACCACCTTTGCAGCATTCCTGCAGTCACATGATCTAGATTCAAGCGCTTCACAACTGGCAGGCATTTTCAACTATTGCAGAGTCCCAGTTAAGTGACTGCTGTTTTTTGCACTTCAGTTTTCCAATAAGCAGAGTCAATTGGAGAAACTGGCAATAAAATTGCAAGTTGCATTCACCTGTCTTGCTTAATGCCCGTGCTACTTAGTTGATGGAGTTGTCGGCCTCCACTGTGGTTGTTAAGCAAAGTCTACCTGTACTTTAGGAGAACAGGTTACTAGGAGGCTGCTATTTATTACCAATTTTTCCATAGAACAACTGATCATAGCTCCTCGTACAAATCAGCAGCCTGGTTTAGACATCATGCTAAGCTGTCGTGTGGCTTATCTGATTCTTTCGTGTGGCTTATCTGATTCTTTCTTAGTGTCTCATACAAAGAATATGATTTAAGGTAACTAAGGAATCGTATGCCTAACATCATCATCAGAAAACATTTTTTTTTTCTTCCCTCATCCAAAAATCCTTTAGTTTTAAAAATTTGCCTACTATAAGCAGAGAAGCTTAAGTGGAATCACCAACCTGTTTTCACTGGACTTTTCTAACAGCTCCCTTGTATTTGTCCCTTCAATTGATTATCATGCACTTTTTATGATTCAACACAAGTAGGGCTACTGCATTGTGGACTGCAGACTAGGTAATCAAAAAGTTAAATGGTTTCATATCCTTTTGCTTCCATCTAGTGGCTATCTTGATTTTTGCAACATGAGTCTGATACTTCAATCTAATTCTAAAGGGAGGCCACAAAGAAGAGGGAGTCAACCTATTCTCAAAAGCACAATGAAAGCAGGACAAGAAGCAACGGGTGGAAACTAAGCAAGGAGAGAAGCAACCTAGAACTAAGGAGAAACTTCCTGACAGTGAGAAAAATTAACCAGTGGAACAACCTGCCTCCAGAAGCGGTGAATGCTCCAACACTGGAGGTTTTTAAGAAGAGACTGAACAGCCATTTGTCTGAAATGGTATAGGGTTTCCTGCTTGAGCAGGGGGTTGGACTAGATGACCTCCAAGGTCCCTTCCAACTACTACTTCTTCTTCTTCTTCTTCTTCTTCTTCTTCTTCTTATTATTATTATTATTATTATTATTATTATTATTATTATTATTATTGTTATATGACTCAGAAGAAGATCTTACATCAGCCAGTAACCTAGAAAGAGTCTAAGTGAATAGGTGAGGGGTTGATCTAAATGTCAAGTATAAATTGTGATTGGGACATTAGATTTGAACTTGCAAGATTTGGATCAGCAGTGAGCATGTTAATAATAATAATAATAAAGTTGGAAGGAACCTTGGAGATCATCTAGTCCAACCCCTGCTCACGCAGGAAACCCTATCTAATCTAATTTAAGAAGAAACTGGACAGCCATTTGTCTGAAATGGTATAGGGTTTCCTGCCTGAGCAGGGTGTTGGACTAGAACAGAGATCCCCAACCTTTCTCAGTTGGTGTACCGGAGGGAAAAGCATTTTATGTGCATGTGCGTGCAAATGGTGTGGTGCTAGCGTCCGCGAGATCTCACTAGCCCTGCCGTTTTCATGCCGTGCCGCACCCCATTTTCACACCATGCCACGCCCCATGTTCGTGCCGCGTTATGCCCCATTTTTGCATGGACATGCACTAGCGTGAGTGGGGGTGAGTGTGCGCACTGGCCAGTCTGTCCCATGGCCCGGTGGCCAACAGTAGAGATGGCAGGCTTTCAGGTCCCGTTAAGTGGTGCCATTTGTTCGAAGGAACCCACAGCATGCCAGCCCTGTTGGATTGAACCAGTTGAGCAGATAATAGGAGAGACAGGTGGTCCTTCAAGTAACCAGGCTCTGTGTAGGCTCTCTAGCATTCTGCTCACTCAGGCCACGATCACCTTCCTCTGCTATAGGGCCCCAAGTAAATAATAATTGTCAATTCCCCATACAGCTAGTAAAGGTGAAAAGGCGTATTTCATCTTTCTCTATCCTACCATTTCCACCCACAGTGAATTTCTGCCCTTGCCTTGTTAATTTTACTACTGCCAGATATAAATAAAAATCAGATTCGTAATTATTAGTAAACCTGGCACTTTATGAATCTTGCTCTTCTCACCAACACAATGGTTGAACAAGGACTTTCAGTCAGTTAACTACTAAGTCCTTTCTTTTTAACCAGCGAGACTGAAATAAATGCAATCTGCACACTGATCCGAAAAGAGTTTTATGAAAATCAAACAGACATTTCAAAATCAGAACTTATGGAAATGCGCCTCTTTTCCCCGAGGCTTCCTCTGGTTCCACACACAACGCTGGCAGTACTTACAGCTGTTAAGTACTTTCCTCTCCCCACCTACCCAGTTCATCTTGTGAAGGAAGGCATTTGCCAGTGACGACGGTGGTAGGGCAAAATGGCCCTGGTCCCCTCCTCTTTCCTTCACTGACAACAAGTCTGGATCACCAAGCAACATCTTTTGCACCTGACAGCAGCTTGTAGGACAACTCTTTGTTGTCCCATTGCTATGAGCCAGGCTAAGAATAATAAGAGTCTATGCTTCCTCTACATTTGATTTCCATGACCACCTTGGTGGATCTGCTAAATGTTCTAGGGGCCAGAGCTTTCCCATTGTGTGAGAAGCCATCACAATTGTCCAGGGTAAGGTAGCAACCCCCCTCTTTAGCTCCAAGCTCCATCGCGCAGGAGACCTTCAGTGGTTCTTTAAGTTGGTGGGCTATGATTCTTCCTCCTCTTCAGGCTCCTGCTCCTCTTCAGGTTCCTCCTGAGTTTCAGGTTCCTCCTGAGTTTCAGGTTCCTCCTGAGTTTCGGGTTCCTCCTGAGTTTCGGGTTCCTCCTGAGTTTCGGGTTCAGGTTTATCCTCAGGCTCACCCTCCGCACTGCCTAATTCCTCCGGGCCAGCTTTCGATAGGCTGACCTTGCTGTCATTGTCTGAGCCACTAGGTACCTCACTTCCTTGTTGAGCCCACATGTCAGAGTAGAGGCCCCCTTTCTTTAGCAGTTGCTCGTGCCTGCAAAATGCAGCAAAAGTTAATTTGAAGGGCTCCACAGGAAGCACGCCCCTCGCTTACGCGGCTCTAGGCTTTCCCAGTGGAACTTTCCCCACACTGTGTCACGTATCTGTATCACCACAGCACACCACCCTCCTGTAAAGCCCGTCCTTTTGTCACAAGCTGTGACAGCTTTCCCAGTCTGGGAATTTGTCAGCAGGTTTGGCGACGGAGGGGATAAGCAGGGAATCTAGGGAGTCGCAAGAAGGGCTCAACCTCTCCTCCCCCGGGGCTTGTACAGTACTCTTCTCCATCCTTGGAATAGGAGGAAGGTATGCCAGAATGAAAATCACTGCCTCCTGGAGCAATCCTCTTACCTTGCCTGGGGAATGAGGGCAGTAAAGTCACTGCCCTCACCTGGGGATAGCAATTACCTGCACTTGCTGGTCTCTGGAGAGCAAAAGGCAGGGAAGGAAAAGGCAGCTCTCTTCTCTGCACCCTGCCCTGCTCCTCCCCTCCCCTCCCTCCACCCAGACCAGTGCAGATCTTTCACCTCTCCGGTTGGTTGCTGTCACGTGCAAAAAGAGGCAGGGAGGGTCCTTTGATAGACTGAAACTGATCCACATATTGGGGCTTCAGAAGGAGATTTTCACATGGAAATATCCCACCAAATGGGTTTCACTTGCGGCCTCTATTGAAGTATGTGTGTGGGGGCGGGAATCAATGCCCAGAAAATAGCACTATGATGGGGATGGGGGATAAATAAGGATTGTGCTGAGCAGGGTTGACCTATAACAGGGGTGTCAAACTCAATTTCATTGAGGGCTGCATCAGCACTGCGGTTGCCCCGGGTGGGTGTGGCCTACTGGGTGGGCGTGAATGGAGTGGGTGTGGCCTACTGGGTGGGCATGGCTAGCTCTACATTGTTTGCGTCAAGGGTGCCTGTGGGGGCCTGGGCAGGAGTGGGACAGATCTGAGGGTCTCTGGCAGAAGGGGGTGGGACCGGGGCAAGCGCCAAGGCATGGTCCATTTCTTCATTCCTCACAAAGGGTGACACCTCCCCGGCATGCACCCAGGGGGCGGGGCCGACATGGCAGGGGCTGGTTCCTGGCTGTTTCCAGACGGCCTTGTGGAGCTAAGACTGAATGCATTTCAGCATAGATGGCCACCACAAAATTGTACATTGGCTCCCGGCCGGCCTGGGTCAGGGCCAAGGCAGCGGGGGCCGTTCCCTCAGTTTCCAGGATGGCTTCGTGGGCCACATGAAACCACTTCGCGGGCCGCATCCGGCCCCCGGGCCTTGTGTTTGACATGTCTGACCTATAATTTGCACTTGGGGCTAATACTCCACTTCTGATTTGACTGCCTCAAGTAACCTATGGTAGTATTAGAAGCAACAATAATAATTGTCCTGTTGCCATGATTCCACTGTTTATTTTAAACTGGACTTGAAAATGGGGAAATTCACACTTCGGTTAATACTTGTTTGGTGGGGAGAATATAGGGCAGACATGTCAAACTCGCGACATGTGACGTCGCGCGACGTAGCAGAACTTTCCCACTGCCGGCAATGCGATGGGTGCGGTTTCCTCGTGACACATCCGGCCCATGGGTCGGCAGTTTGACACCCCTGATACAGGGGTTCACTTCCTCCTTTCCTAGGAATTGGCTTTCTAAACATGAGAAAAGCGGTTGTCACGATTTCTTTAAATCTCTGAGGTTTTTTACATTTGTTTACCTTCCACGCTCTACCACATGGCCGTCCCGGATAACAAGAATTTGATCAGCCTTAACTATGGTTGATAACCTATAAAGGACAAACAATTATTACTACTTAGAAACCAGTGTGTAAATTTCGACAGCTGTCAATAACATACAATACATGACATGTACACAGGTTGTCATCTCAGATATAATCTGGGGAAAGAACTATACAAAGATAATGCCATCACAAAATGTTTTTAAGAGTAATAGATCAGAAATGAGGAGGTGATAAGCCGCCTGGGAAAGCCAAGGAAAATCATCAAAACAATTAAAAAACGAAAATTAGAATATTTCGGACATGTGATGCGACACCCAGAAAAATACGGCATATTCCATTTAATCCTCCAGGGAAAGATTGAAGGCAAACGAGGTCCAGGCAGAAGAAGAACATCGTGGCTTCAAAATCTAAGTACTAGTTTGGACAAAACTCAGCAGCACTTTTTCGTGTGGCTGTTGATAAAAACAGGATCGCCAACATGATTGCCAACGTCTGATAACGGATATGGCACAAGAAGAAGAAGATGTACAACATAGCAACAGCAATAGCACTTATATACTGCTTCACAGTGCTTTACAGCCCTCTCTAAGTGGTTTACAGAGTCAGCATATTGCCCCCAACAACCTGGGTCCTTATTTTATTGACCTTCGGAGGATGGAAAGCTAAGTTAATCTTGAACTGTTCAGGACTGAACTCCTAGCAGTGGGCAGAGTTAGCCTGCAATACTAACCACTGCACCACCACAACTCAGTGTGTAATGTATGTAATGAGTAGAATATTAATTCAGCAAATCCAGTGCTTTTTTTTGTCATAGAACGCACCAGAACGGAGTTCCGGCACCTTTTTTTTGATGAATTTTCCAAGTTTTAAAAGTAACTTTTGAAAATTTGATACTTGGTCCACGTGGACTTGAATCGCCCTGTCAAGCATAGCAGATCAGCAGCAAAATCATTAAAATGGTGCATGCGGGCTGCTTGTGTGTCGAGTCCGATGCATGCGTACTTCATCCGCGCTGGTTGTGATGGCGCTGCTCGGCTTGTGGCACTGCTCGGCTTGTGATTGATTGTGTGGTCGCGCACTGAGTGCTTACTGCGGGCGGCGACTGTTATGTTTCATTACACAACTGACGCGTGGGTGTGTGTACAGTGATTGACTATGTGCGAAAGGTAAATAATTTCTTTATTTTAAAAAAATTGTTGGTGAATTGAAGATCTTTTTTTAATTTTTAGTGTAAAAGTGTGATCCCAAATTTAAAAATGAAAAAAAATATTAATTACTTCTCAACTACTGGTCCTGCTAAGAACTGAATATATATTTATTTTTAAATAAAAGATTAACAAGATGTGAGTTCCGGCACCTTTTTTCTTACAAAAAAAGCACTGAGCAAAGCTATCTTAAAATGTCCAGAACTCTATTGGATTTCTAGCCATTCCAGATCCTATGGTGCTAATTCAGCCACATGTAACAGCATTCAGGTGTGAGCCCCGACTGTCTATAATTTTTGTCTTCATAACCTTCATGACTAATATCTCGGGAAAAGGGGAGAGTAGCAGCAAATTGGTGAAAAGCCAAGGAAATCACCAGAGGTTACCTGGTGATTTCCTGTGGTGCAGGATGCAACAAAGACGAAGCAAAAGAATACAACTCAATATAAGGGAGCTTTGGCAATTCTCTGCTAAACTGCGTTTCTTAAGGGCAGGACTCATCCCTGAGGGAAATTGCGATTCCCTCTCCAGATGTTCTGGAATCTAATCGTAATATAGGAAAAAGGTAAAATAGAAAGCAGACAACTGCACATATCTCTTGGATACATATAATTCAAACTGTCACGCTCCATTTATGAGAAATTCTCTAAAATTCTCTTCCCCTTTGACAAAAATTCTAAAAAAAAATCTCATTCATCAAACTGAATGAGAATCGATAGAAACAAGTACAAAAGTCAAGGCAAGAATTTGACCCTCTTTGTAGAACGGGAACAGTTTTCCTTTAGCTAGGATTGTGCTGGTCAGAGTATATAGCTAGCTTAGGAATTAAGAACTGTTCCCTTAAGGGATAGCCTTCTGGGTAATGTAGTTTATGTTACCTGGTTATATCTGTGTTAAGGTTGGCCACTGAGAGGGTCTTGTGTTTTATTACGGGATATCCTGATTACGTGCCAGTCTGCAATCTCTCTATGAATCCTAGCCACGAGAGCTGGCAGCTCCGTTAGAATGGAGAAATTTATTTTCCTTTTACCTATGCGATGGGTCTAAATTACAACCTATATTCCAGAAGAACCTCTACAGTAACTGTAAGTTATTGACTTGAGGATGCCTGTTGAATAAAGTAATTTGCATGATTCGTCCATGGAGTTATTCTTCCTGTATCAAGTAATATCTAGCAACAATCTCCTTTGCTTGAGCCAGGACAAGGATTATGCTTAAAACCTCTTATTTAAAACTCCTATGTTACCTGTGAGCCACAATAATGGTGGTGCGATTGGCACATACTTTAGCCAGCGATGACTGGATTTTTCTCTCCGTTTTAGTGTCCAGTGCTGATGTTGCCTGTAAGAGTTAGCACATTGTGTAGGAGAGCAAAGGGGGGGGGGAAGAATATAGAGGAACGTAATGGACTCTGAACCTCCTTTTAGTGTCAAGTCACTGGCATATTAGTACCTATAAGCAACCCATATTGTTTTGATACCATGGTAAAGGGCTGAGAGATGCTCTTTGTAGTTCTATACTATTGTTGTGGGGAGAACTACTCAGGAACAGGTTATAAATGGTGTGAGGAACAGGGAAGGAAACATAATTGTAAAGACAGAATTTGTGATATTATCCTCCTCCCAAATGCTCCCAGAATTTCAGGCCTTGTTTAAAAAAAAAGGCATGGAAGGGTAAAATGTAAATGTAACTTGGATGTGGGAAACAGATAACAGTACAAGTAATACTTGATTTATGACCAGTCCCTTAGCGACCTTTCAAAGTTATGATGGACCTTCCTGGAGGTACCTATGCCCCCCCCATCACGACCGCACTTTGGGTGCTCAGTAACAGGGCCACATTGATGGCTGTTTGCAGCATTCCAGTCATGTAACCTTTTACATTGGTTTTGCAAAAAAACCCCAAAACCCAGCATTTACTTCTGGTTTTCAGCAAAACCATGCTCGTAATGAAGCACTGGGTCACTTAATGACTGTGGTGTTTGTTTAATGCCTGTTGCAAAAAAGGTCATAAAATTGGGTCAGTCATGTGGGTGATCATCATGAGTTACAATCATGATGGACAGGCTTCATTACCGTTGTAACTCAAAGACTACTTGTATACTTGCCACATACATGGTTACAATGTGGAATGCTTCTAGCCAGGATTCCAGCCAATCATGTGCTTTTCTAGGTTACTCCATGGGATATTACATTTGAGTCTTCTGTTCTCCCCTCAGCAAATATTCCATATCCAAAAGGTTGTTCTCTCTAATGAATGGATGGGCCTTCTCTGGGACTGAGACAGATATTAAGATAATACTTCTCCTCCGTTACCTCATCAAATAAGATGATGTCAGGGTTCTTCAAGATAGTGCGGGCAATAGCAACTCGCTGTTTTTCCCCACCACTCAGCTTCAGACCTCGCTCACCAACCTGCGTATCATAACCTTTCAGGCATAAACACAGAGGAAAGTAAAACACTATGTAAAAAAGGAAGGCCACTGAGATACAAATTGTTGCTTTCTGCTAATTATGTATGTGTACACTTTGAGAGCAAGCAACTAAATTTCATTTTTAATGTGTGCCATTGTGCCCACAGTAAAAAATGACAGTAAAGGTTATCTATCTATCTATCTATCTATCTATCTATCTATCTATCTATCTATCTATCTATCTATCTATCTATCTATCTATCTATCTATCTATCTATCTATCTATCTATCTATCTAATTGGCAGAGCATTTTAAATCTTTATGGCTATTTCTAGCAGTAGTAGCACCATCCAGATTTACTAAAAAGGAATATTTGGTGTTGCAGTAGATACTCTTAAAATTCCATCATTTCCTAAGCAGGTCACTTAAAAATATGAAAAGGAAATGGGATGGCTTTGCAAACTGGGATATAGAGGCCAATCTCATTTCTTTCACTAGTCAAGATCTCATTCATCAATTGGTCTTAGAGGATTGGTGGGATAGGGTGAGGCTCCTCAATTTTGGTAACTGTTGGTCAACTTTTCCTATCTGACTTCTCAGATAGTCCAACCCACAACATCCATACCCACAGAAAATGGGCTGGATAAAAATGATAGGAATTACTGTTCAACACACAGAGCCTGGTTACTTGAAGGACCACCTGTCTCTCAACTGGTTCAATCCAACAGGGCTGGCATGCTGTGGGTTCCTTCGAACAAATGGCACCACTTAACGGGACCTGAAAGCCTGCCATCTCTACTGCAGTGTCTGCCCTCTGGAACGAATTTCTCTGGAGATCAGAGTAACTCCCACCCTGATGGTATTCTGGATGGTCTTAAAAGACCTGGTTCTTCTCTCAAGCTTTTGGTTTTAGGCTGGGATAGTTGGAGCACCCTGTGGAATTTACACATTGGCTGAGTTTGCCAACTTATTCATTGCTTTTTAACTGAATGGAGTATTGTTGTTGGCTTTTATTTTGAGAGCCACTCAAAGTTGACGGCATTTAGATGATGTACAAGTCAAATAAATAAACAAACAAACAAACAAACAAATAAATAAATAAATAATAAAGGCTCATTTAGATTAGTTCAGATAAGATCAAAGGGAGTGCAAAATCAGATTATTGGTCCACACAGATCAAGAACAGTCCTGCTCCCCCACCGCACAGCATCTCAAAATGTAGATTGCTATTATTTGCACAGGCCTACAGATCTGTCAATGGCTTCAGTTTGGAATCTTTCCCATCTGCAGAAATTAAGGACTGAATCTGAGTCCTGTGCTCGACTATCAAGCAGACCATCCCAGGGTAATCACATGAGATCTCACGACAGGGCAGGGGGCGGAATACAAGCTTTACGGCAAACTGGTAGATAAAGTAGAGGTAGTCCTTACCATCAGGGAATGTGAGGATACGATCATGGATATTAGCAGTCATGGCAGCCTCCATAACCTCCTCATTGGTAGCATCAATACGACCATATCGGATGTTGTTGCAAATGGTATCATTGAAAAGGACAGTGTCCTGAGGCACTACACCAATATGGGAACGCACGGAGACCTGCTTTGCCTGTGGGTGTGAGCAGATGGAGGGTGAAGTGAGAAACTGTACAATTCACCTAGGTCAGTGGTATTAATACTTCGCGTGATCTTGATTCTATCCCTCCGTTAATGCAGCCTAGCACTGTGTTGGCTTTAAACTAGAAAACATCCCAAATAATGGACACTGGACAGGCTCGATCATCTCTGGGGAGTTTCATTATTATATGACAAAATTCTATGGAAAATGGTTTGACTAGCAAGATTAAAAAATGCCCATGGGACACTGTGTTGTGAACATGTACACTGTAGGAAATTATGCATCTTTTAACCTGCCTCAACTATTTCTGTCCTCTCTCTCTAGATTTTATCCATATCTCATTCCACTGCTTCCTAGACATTGATTCCAGTAACCAGAACAGATCTGATAAATGAGATAGATCCTTAAGGAAAGGTATAACCACAGGGAGTAATGGAGAGAAAATTAAGAGGATGGATTTGTGGAATCAGAATAATAAGAACAGACACCAAAGAGCTCTAGCAGACATGAAAGAACCAGCTGTCCTGTGATACCCTCCCACGCTGATCTCCCAAAGACTAAGGGCCATCTAACAATCTCCCTCAGATACCCCGTAGTCCTTTCCCAGTGAGCTTGGGTGGCCATAAGAGAAGTGGAGGCCTGCTGAGCACAAACCTTTAATCTACCTTTAAATGGAATCATATGTCTGTTGCTGTGGCAATAAACATGAACAAGCAATTAAGCAGCTGGGTTGTGTCATTAAGCCTTGAGGAGCTCTGAGAGGAGAAGCATAAGAGGGTATATAACACATGCAAAAGGTTATGCCAACTTGGTTCTATCAATGGGATCACACTGTACAGCAGGGGTATGGCATCTCTGGACCTCAGGGTATTGTTGATAGACAACTCCTGGCATCTTCTGCCATTGGATAGGGCCACTCGGAGTTACAGTTTTCGTTTTCTGGAGAGCCAGTTTTTCACTTGTACAGCCATTCATCTTCTGGACCATAAAACATGGGTAACCAAAATATTCCCCTATTTTTACTTTGACTTCACATACACAGAATGCATGTGAGTGATTAAACTATCTATATAACTTTCTTGCAAACGAATTCTTGTCAAACAATGGTTTCTCATATCCCCGACTTTAAACTGCTCCTATGCTATCCCTTTTGTGTGATCAAAAACCCCTCAGTACTTAGGCTTGTTTTCCTCTGACAGATGGTACTTCTTTACATTTGTGCCGTCAGAGCAGATTTTTTTTCGCCCTCAAATCTATTTATCCTAACATTTCATGGTATTTCCTAGCTGTTTAATTAGCATTTTGATGTAAAAATTCTTCAAAATCTCCAATTGCTTTAATCATCTCAAATAATTGGTGCACCAAGAGTCCTAATCAGTTAAAAACACCAGTCTCAATAGAGATCCCAGAAGGACATATTTAGCTATATTCCTCTGCTGACTGGTCCCAACACAGTAATGCAAAGAAGTGCATAGAAGCCATAGTAGGTAAGGTGAGGCTGAAATTCGCAATTTATCTAGACAATATTTGGGGATATACTTCCCATCCTCCTCCCACCCCACTCCTTTTTAAATGAACCTTCTCCATGCCTTCATCCACGATGGATGAGCCTTCTATTATCAATACTTTCCAGTGGCTTTGTTACCTTAGAGATATCCTGTCCATCTATTCGTATGCAGCCTCCCCACAGGTCATAAAAGCGGAATAGCAGGCGGACAATGGTACTTTTTCCTGACCCAGAGGGTCCCACCTGGAGAGAAAGAGAGAGAGCAAATTAACCCTACAGTAAGAAATGAAAAGTAGGGAGGCTAAAGTTTCAACATTTGTTTTTGGCCCCTTGTTTAGGGCCTGTCACTATTCCTATCAGATGGGAGACAAAAGAAAGTACTGTACGATTACGGTAGATAATTGCTTACAGCAGAGCCATTTCTATCTCCTTACCAGTGCTAGAGTTTGTCCAGGCATTGCGGTAAAGGAAACATCGTGTAAAATTTCCTTTCTGTGTGGAGAACAACAAAAGAGAGCAGTCACCCAACTTTCAAACTTCACTGCTCTCCTGAAGCAACCTGGGGAGACCTCCCACCCACGATGCCCTCCTCTGTTCCAGACACAGACTACTTCCTCCAGTTTGCTGGGGACTCAGCAGAATAGTTTGAATAACAATGACCGTGGTTTTTCCTAGGTTAAGAGGGGTTTTAAGAGACAGATAAAAGTAAGGTTTTTGAACTACTTTACTAATTCCCCAAACAACTTTCAGGAAAGGTCCCTATCTTTCTCACTTGTCATAATTCAGGAGGGAGATACAAAACATGTTTCTTACTGAGCTTTTATCTCCTTCAGAGTTGGAAAGCTTTAATGAGACTCACATTTTCACCATCACTATCCTATGTTGTTCAACCCTTCTTTCTCAGATTTAACACGCACCATTGTCACCATCAACACTTTTTCCTTCTCTACTTACCCTTCCGTGTAGCCAAAATGGACATTTTCAAATTCCACACGTCCTGCAAGAAATCGAAGATCTCCAGCCCCCGGTTCGTCCTTCACCTACAAGTTAACACATCCGTAATATCTATTAAGATCCTGACTAGCTTAAGTTGGCAGAGGAAGGAAGATTTGTCCCAATGGCCAAGAGGTTGCTCTTGGAAGCCATTTATAGTACAGAAATGGCATTCCTGAGGTAGAGCACTTGTTTTTCAATCACAAAATTCAGTTCGTAGCAGTTCCAATAATAAAAGCTAGATAGCAGACGATAACAAAGGTTTCTTTTGGAAGTCCTGGACAGTTGCCACCACGGTACAAAAGTCTGATCTGGAACCTCACATCTGTAC